CCCCGCCCGGCCCGGCGCCGCCGCCGCCGCGATGTCTCAGGAGCGGCCCAAGTTTTACCGGCAGGAGCTGAACAAGACGGTATGGGAGGTGCCCGAGCGCTACCAGAACCTGTCGCCGGTGGGCTCTGGCGCCTACGGCTCTGTGTGGTGAGTGCCCGCCAAGCTAAGCAGGGTTGGGCCCGGTGCGCGCTTGGATGGGAGACCGCAGGGGGCTAACGGCCTCGGGTGACAAGGGGCTCGGCCCCATGGTAGAATTCTGGTGCCTGAAGCATTGGGGCTGCAGAGGTTATCTAGAGGCAGGATCCTGCCTCTAGAGACTGTCCCGTGCACACTTTGGTCCTGACATGGCAAGCAGTGTCCTGCTGCTGTGATACACTGTCAGTGCACACCCAAGAGTTTGAACAGTGGGGGTCAGGTAGCAGCAGAGCATTTTAGGTGTGGAAATATTGGTAATACTGTAATGGGTTTCTCAGTGCCTGCAATGGTCCAGCACCTGCTCCCTGGTAGGGGCTCGCGGTGCAGCTGTCACTGCATTCATGCAAAATACGCAAGGTAGAAGTCATTCCTATCCAAAGCACATCAATATGCAGTCCAGGGTCATAGTCACCAAATGTGGAGAGAAATGATTTTCTTTTGCTGGAGTTACATGACCCCAGCAGTCTTTCCTGCCCAAATCAAGGGGCCAGACCTGATGATTGCACGATGTCCCTTCCAGCCCTAAGCTTCTGTGAATCTTTACACATTATAGCTTTTTTTTTGTTGTTTTTTCAGGAGGGCTGTTTGTTGGTTCTGGTTTTTTTGACAGCAACTTGTTCATTTGAATTATAAAATTGTCTACAAGTTCCATTCAGATAACACCTATTTCCTAAAACTGCTGTGTCACAAATAGATGAGTATTTGTCCCATGCTGTGTATAAAGGAGTTAGTAGTCTGAATAACTGAATGTGCTCTTGGAACTGTTATTGTTGAAAAGCTGAGTTTAATTGCAGCAGACCAGAGGCCTGACCTCCCTAGTTCATGAGTCCTCCTGAGGTGCTGAATGTTCTCAATCCACTTGGATTATAATGGGGGGAAAATGAGCATGCTTCCTGACAGACTGACTTTATTTTTAAGAACAACCCTTTCAAAATCCCTCCTCCCATTCCAGATTGTGTTTTCCAGACTCTTAAGTATTGCTTCCAAATGCTTCTTTCCACTGCTAACAACGTAAGGATTTGCATCATGAATTTCCTGTTTTGCAGTGTCAAAGCTTTCAAAGATTGTGCAACTGCCTTTCAGTAGCAGAAGAACCTATTTTTTATTGAAAGCAGTTTCAAACAGATTGGAGTCTAGTTGACATATTTACTGTGTCTTTCTATATGTCTTATAGCAATTTTTTTCCTAAAGAAAAGGGAGAAAATAGGTCTGTCCCCACTGCTTTGTGCTGCACTTGGTTTGAGTAGTGTAGTCTGTCTTATAAAATTTGATGGCACTTTGCTGCTAATCAAAGTTCATGTCTATTTCTACAGACTTGCTCCTTGGCTGATCTTCTTTTCCAATCTGTCATCGCTATGAATTATGTTG